TGTGGCTGTTTGGCCGTAGGTGAAGTGGGGGGAGGGAGAGGTGTCAAGGTGATCTTCCTTTTATTCATCAAGAACGAATAAGTGTTGGTGTAGCCATCATGTTGCACACGGTGATCAAAGAGCCACGGGCGTCCCAAAAGTATGTGGCATGCATCCATAGGAATGATATCGCACCATACGTCGTCCTTGTATGATTTGCCGATACTCAAAGAGATGAGACTTTGGGTATCAACACGTAAGCCCTTGCCATGATTCAACCATTGAATCGTGTAAGGCTTAGGATGTGGAGAGGTCTTCAAACGCAGCTTGTCTATCATGGTTTTGGACGCCACATTGGTGCAACTTCCACTATCAAGAGCTCTTCAAACTCCCGGTTGTATTCTTCAACGGACTTAGAACCTTGCCTAAACGTTTGAAGCTTAGCAAAATTCTCACGAACATATTCGGCGGGTAAAAACTTCTTTTTTAGAAGGGACCTCATTTTTGCCAACGTGGACACCGGTTCTTTGTCATTTCTTCTCGTCTTGGTGCACATATTAGTCCACCAAGTTGATGCATACTTCCGGAACTTTAAGGCCACTATCTTGACCTTCTTTTCATCGGAAACATCTTTGAAGTCAAAGACGCGTTCCACTGTTTCTAGCCACTCGAGGAACTCGTCCGGGTCGTTCTTCCCTTCAAAAGTTGAAATGTCAACTTTGAAGTCAGAACCTTCAGTGGCTTTAGACTTCATGGTTCCACTATAACTAACGTCTTCTTCACGGTCACTTCCTTGGAGCTCGTTGAGTTTCATCTTCGTAAGCTTGGCTACCTCTTTAGCCAAGTACTCCACATGTGCTTTCAAGGCTGTATTTGAGGCAATGAGCTCTTCATGGGACATAGTTTGGGATTCATTCGACATGGTTGGAGTGGGAAAAGGTAAGGAAGGTCGTTTAGTTTGGCTTTGGGGGTTTTTTAGGGAAGAGGAAAGGGAGTGATGGTGAGTGGCCCTTGGGGATGTTCAACACTTAGCTTTGATACCAAATGTTATACCCAAGCTAAGGTTTTTAAAGGAACTATCTTGTTAAGAACAGGAAGAAATAATCGATTGTCCAAAGTGGATAATCGATTATCAGGGGCTTCAGTTTCTGGGGGCAATTTTCTGGGGATTTTCTGGGAGGGGAGATAATCGATTTACAGGAGGTGTCAATCGATTATTGAGGATGGCAGGTTTTTTTTTGGGAAAGGCTGATAATCGATTATTGGAGACTGATAATCGACTATTGAGGGCTGCAGGTGTTTCACGAAGGATAGATAATCAATTTCCAGTGGGGATAATCGATTATTTGACAGCTCGAGACAGGAACAAGGTACTTCTTTGGAAAGAAAAACAAACCAAATTGGTGTTAAGGGATATTACACACCCTTATCTTAACTTGGGGTTGAATCTAGCATTTAAATAAGATATTACACACTTACTTAAATAACTAGAACCTAAAACTCACACTCAAGAGAACCAC